GTGTGACACAGTCGTACTGGCCTTCAGGGTGTACTCCCTGACCAGATGTGGGGTCCAGGCAGACGAGGAGTCCTTTCGGCCATCCAGGGTTGAGGACTTGTCCCACACCCTTTCTGAGAACCTGCAGGCACAGGTTTCCCGTGAGCCGGCAGGATCCTCCTGCCCGCTGTGAGGGAGAATGCTGCATACTGCCCCCTGGTGGCCAGGGCCGCTGGCTCCTGCTCACCTTCTCTGTCATCCAACAGAACCAATCAGGTCCTTTTGCATCAACCCTCAAAGAGCGAGAAGGAGAACTGCCCTGTCCGGGGGTCATTCCAGTCGTCCACCTCTGATCTCTCACCTTCTCAGTGCCTGACGTCCAGTGGAAGCGGCGGGAGGACTTCCCGGTGTCCCCTTGCTGCCCCCGACTGTGCCCGGGAGCCTCCTGGCACCAAAAGGCAGTGGTGGGTGTTGGGTCCTACTTGTACCACATTGTATTTACCTATTACATATTTATTATTTTTAAAAGTTCCTTGTATCCAGCCGGGTGTGGTGGCTCATGCCTGTAATCCCGGCTCTCTGGGAGGCCGAGGTGAGAGGCTTGCCTGAGCTCAGGGGTTTGAGACCAGCCTGAGCAACATGGCAAGACCTGATCTCTGCAATAAGTCAAAAAATTATAGCTGGGTGTGGTGGTGCATGCCTGTAGTTCCAGCTGAAGCAGAAGCTGAGGAAGAAGTATCACCTCAGCTAAAGCTTAGGTAAAAGTATTACCTGAGCCCAGCAGGTCAAGGCTGTGGTGGCCATGAGTGTGCCACTGCACTCCAGCCTGGGCAGTAGGCTCCAACTCAAAAGAAAAATGTTCCTTGTGTCCTGTCTAAGCCTTAACTTTTAATTAAAAGAAAATAAGGGCAACTCTCTTTCGGGCCCCCTCCCACTTGGGAGCTACTCTATCCTATTACACTCCTGCTCTAAAATAAGAAGAAGAAGAAGAAAAGAAAAGAAAAAAAAGCGCCTTCTGTCATAACCCTTCCCAATAGTGCAACTGGGTTCTTGTTCCATTTCTGCCTTGCCTGCTCCTGTCTAACCAGGTCTAGAGCACGCAGGGTGCTATCTCAGCGTTACGTCCCCTCTCAGTGTCTTTACGGCGACTGGGCCTGTCTCAAGGAGAAGGTGCCCGCCGGGATGCTCTGTCATCTGCAGCAGATGAGGCTGCCAGCGTCTCCTGTCTCCCTTCATCCTTTGGTGGCTGAGAAAAGCCACGTGGGGCTTCAGTCCTGGTCTCCCTCACCCCCACCTCCCCTGGGTCTCTCTCAGAAGCCCACCCTGCCTGTCTCTGACCAGAGTTTCCAAAGCCTCTCCCTGGGTTCCTGGAAATCCCCGCCCGCTGGAGCAGTGACAGGCCAGGGGCTCGTGACCTGTGATCTTACACCATGGGGAAGTGGCTGTGAGGGAGAAGAGATATGTGTCCCTGTCACCCCTGCCATGGCCCCTGTCCCACCCTGGAGCCACTCCACCTTAGAGCCCCATCCAGTGCTGGGAGACCAACAGGAGGGAGACCTGGGTCCTTTCCAGGTCCTTCTGCTGAGTAGCAGCTGCTTGCAGAGGCAGGCCCAGGCCCTGGAACTTGGGTTTCAGTTCTGCCACTTGCAACCACCAGCCAGCTGACCCAGGCAGCTCCCAACCCTCCTAAGCTGACATCCTTGTCCGGGAAAGGAGCATAATGGTGAGAGTGAGATGTGAGGACCCCCATAGCACGCCCAGGCCAGGGCCTGGCCCACTTGGAGCTAGTAAATGTTAGCTGTGTGTGCCAGTCACCCTACGGGGGCTCAGAGACACAGAACAAGAGGCACAGTGTCCCTGGGGGAGGGAGGCAGTGAGTGGAAAAAAGAAACGATGGCATGCAAGAGGGGCACCCTGTGAGGGCTGGAGGAGGAAGGAGGGGAGAGAAGGGAGAGCAGGAGGGCTTTCTGGAGGAGGTGGTGTTCTAAATCCTGAGGCACATCCCCTAAGTGAGGAAGAGAGGAAGAGAGATGGTGGAGACTGACACGTGGGGACCTGACAGGAGTGGCAAGGCTGAAGGATTCCAGGATGTGATGTGCCCGTTAGAAAGATCCTGTGGCTTTAGGATGAAGGATGGATTGGCTAGGAGTGGGGAGGTGAGACTAGACAGGTGATCCAGGTGGGGGTAGTGAGAAGACCCAGTCCAGGCAGCGGGCAGCACCTCTAGAGCTGAGAGGTGGAGGGCCAGAATCTCGGGACTGGTGAGTAATTAAGAGGGAGGGAGCAGGTCAGGCTCGGTGACTCAGCCTGTAATCCAGCACTCTGGAAGTCCAAAGCAAGTGGATTGCCTGAGCCTGCCAGTTTGAGACCAGCCCAGGCAACTTGGTGAGACCTGTCTCTACAATAAATCAAAAACTTAGTGGGGCATGGTAGTGCGTGCCTGTAGTTCTAGTTACTTGGAAGGCTGAGGTGGAAGGATTGCCAGAGCCTAGCAGGTTAAGGCTGGGGTGACCATGAGTGTGCCACTGCACTCCAGCCTGGAAAACAGAGTGAGACTCCAACTCAAAAAAAAAAAAAAAGAGAGGGAGCAGTGGGTGACAGTCTGCTGGGCGTGCCCTGTGCTGAAATGGAAATAAATGAGTGGTAGCCAGTGGTGATGAGGGAGGAGCGAGCTCAGCTTGAGACATGCTGGCTTGAGAGTTGTCAGGACCCCCACTGAAGACCCGGTGTGACCTCTCACATCAGAGATTAGGCAGAAAACGAAGTTTCGGTAAGAAGCCAGTGAGCACAGCTGACCCACTCCTTGATCCTGTGGAGGGAACAGTCTCCCCCGCTTCCCAGTCTTGGGGCATTCAGCCACAGGGTGATTAGGTGCACTTTGTCCACCCTGCACCTTTTTGCCTTTTTTTTTTTTTGAGACAGGGTTTCGCAATGTTGCCCAAGTTGGTCTCGAACTCCTGGCCTCAAGCCATCCTCTTGCATGGGCCTCCACCGCTGGGGTTATAGGCATGAGCCACTGTGCCCAGCTGTCTCTCCTTTCCTCAGTTTAAATTCTTCCCCTGCATGCAGCCTCCTGGCCCTCTAGCCAGTACCACCTCCCTTGCCTGGGCTTCCCTGGCTCCAAGTGTCTACAGTTATGGGGGCAGGCACTGGGTGTTCCCCTCAGAGGTTAGGGCTGGTAAGGTGCAGGCGAAGGACAGCATGGTGTATGATGGAGGGTAAAGCCACGGGAAGGGCAGGATCCCCCAGGGGAAGAGCAGAGCTGGGGGCAGCCCTGGGAACACCCAGGATCTGCAGCAAAGCGGAGGTGACGAGGCCTGAGCCTGCCCTGTGACTCCAGGAAGAATGAGGACATCTGAGCTTTGGGAAGTCGGCAGAAGAGAGAGGGGAGGGCATGGGGAAGGGGGCAGCAGGCCTCGGCAGCACAGATGTCCATTCAGACAGCCTGACAAATGTCCCTCGGCTTAGAGAAATGGCGGCCACCAGTGACCTTGACAAGGGTGAGGAGCTGGGGAGGGAAGGGCAGGTGAGGAGGTGGAGACAGTGAAGAGTCCTCTTTTCAGAAACTAGAGTCAGGCAGGCAAGAAAGATGGAGGTGGAGGAAGGCCTTCGGCCATTTCTGTTGCCTCCTCTCTTTTGAAACAAGACCGACTTGGGCACTTTCATGGGCTGCAAGTTCAAGGAGTGGCAGACCTTGCCTAGCCAAGGGGGAAGGGGCCTGAGGGAGGTTCCTGCTGTGGAGGGCCGGGCAGGAGAAGGTGACCCCATTGTTTACATGGAGATGACAAGCCAGTACCCAGGCCATTCAGGGAGAGAGCTCTGATCCAAAATGAGGGCTTGGGGCTGGAGGGAGGCCCAGGCCTGGTGGCAGCTGCCCTGGGCTCCTGAAAGGCCAACGGGGAGCCAGAGCAGGCAGGCAGCGATAAGGCAGCCCGCTGGGGTGCCGGAGACTGCCACGCGGGGATCAGCAGGGCAGCGCCAGCCGCGGCCGGGCCGCATGCACCGGGGGAACCGCTCTCGCTCCCACGCTGCTCCAGAAAGGTGATCCTGCAGGTGGTGGCTTTGCTGCTGGGCTCACGGGACAGGTAGGAGGAATGGACGCCAGAACGTGCAGAAGTCCCTGAGCCTTGACAGGTCGCAGCTCCGACAGAGCTTTGAACCAGCCACGCCTATCTCCCGAGGGGGCAGAGACACTACCACTAATATTTGGGTCCCAGATGAAAGGGGGGAGACAGACGTGGGGGAAGGGCTCCTTTCACGACGAAGCGAATCAGTGGATGGTGGGTCTGGAGGAGACGGGACAGGTGGAAGGAGGTGACCCGGGGACACAAGAGGGCTGTGGCCGCAGATGCGATTTCCCAGGTGGGGGCTAGAGGCCATTCCGGAGCCTGGGGCAGAGGGGCCGACGCGCCGCACTAGGGATTTTGGCGCGTCCGCTCAGATCCTTAGCTTGCCCCAGGAGATGTGAGGCGACCCCGGGGAGACGGTGGCCCGGAGGAGTCAGGCCCTGCCCTGAGGCAAGGCCGAGAAAACCCCGGCCACAGCAGGGGGGCCCGGGGCTCCACACCGGGAACGCAAGGAGGAGCATCGCTAGGAACCGAACACCAGTTGGAGCCGCGCAGCCGCAGAGAAGGCGGGGCGCCTTAAAGTCCCGCCCTGTATGCTAATATGCACCCTCGCCCCGCCCCAGCCTGGGGGCCGGACGGGTCCAATGCCGCGGGGTTTGGGAGGCTGGTGGCGCGCGGCGGCGCACCCGCGGAGGCCGAGGTGTGGGAAATCGGGAGCTGGGGTCGGGATTCGTGGACTAGCAGCACAGTTCGGGGGCGATTAGCGGCCGCACGGTTGTCTCGGAGCCGCGTCTCCCCTGTCGGCTCGAAATGGTACGGCCCCTAGGGGGCGGGGTCTAGGTCATGTGATGCGGCCGCGGCCGCCATTTTGTTCTGCGGTGCTGGTATTTAGAGCGCAGCGGCTAAGGGGCCAGGTCGCCTTCGTTGCAGCCGCTCCGCTCTTCTTTGCGCCCGCCCGCTGCGTCCAACCAGTCCTCGCCCCCGCTTCGGCCCGCAGAGCTCGCCCCTTCCCCACCCGCAGACATGTCTGAGACCAAGAGCAGTCCCGAGTATGCTTCGTTTTTCGCCGTCATGGGCGCCTCCGCCGCCATGGTCTTCAGTGGTGAGCGCCGTAGCAAGAGGGACCTGGGGGACAGGGGGCGCCGGGGACGCGCGCGGAGCCCGTGCCCGCAGCTCGCCGGGGTCCGGCGTGTGACGTCACTCTGACGTAATCCCGAAGTGTGGGGGTGCCCGGGCCTCACGTGACTGTGGGCGGGGGTCGGGGCTTCGAGGTCTGCAGGGGGCCACTGAGTGTCCGGGGTGCAGCGCATGCGGACTTGGCTAGGGTGCCGGTTTCGTGGGTGTCGGGGGTCCGGGGCAGGCGGCCCTGCCATCGGCCCTTTTGGTGCGGGGGTGGGGCGGCGGCGCCGCTGCCATCTTAGCCCCGGGAAAGGCGTGAGGGAGACTGAGGTGGGGGCGCCGGGGCCCCAGCGCGCGGGCCTGCTCCGCACCTCCCCATCCCGCCGGCAGGTGTGACATCACTCTTCTGAAAACTCCCCGTCCGTGGGCGGCGGCGGCGGGGATCGGGCCCTGGGTGCGCCTCGGGGGAGAGTCCCTGCTGCGCCCCGGCGGGTGGGAGCCCATGTCCCCGCCAAGGTCCGTGGCCCTCGCCTTTGGGGCGCCCAGGTCCCGGCAGGGGTGAGGTGGGTCTTACCCATAGGCAGGTGCTTCCGGTTAGGGCTTGTCACGGTTGCCCAATAGCCTTGTTGGCTGTGTGGGTTGGTCGGGAAAGCTGGGCAGAAGGGCTGGTCCTGAGAGCCGGCAGGGACCCGGGGGTGGGGGCAGTGTCTGGAAATCGGGGAGAACTGGGAGACAGGCCCACTCAGTGCTGGTTGTGTGTGGATGCAGAAGGTCTGTGCTTTGAGATGGGTGGAGGAGTGGCATGAGGTGTCAGAATTTACAGGGTGTGGGTCTTTGTTCCTTAGGAGAGAGTCTTCCCGTTCTGGTCCTAGTGAATGCATGAATGAAGGAATGACCTTCCTTTTTTCCTGAGGCTTGAAGTTGGGAGGGGCTGCCCTGGGCATGGAGAAGGGGCCTTTTGGGGTTCTTGATGGCACCCTCCTTTCGAAGTTGGGTTTTGACAGTCTAGGATATCAAATTCAGTGGAAATTGGCCTGCCTGGAAGAAAGGAGCTGGGGCTAGACTGAGGGAGATAAGTTCTGGCCTAGACTCAGCTTCTGGTCTGGTCTGGTCTGGCCTGGCCTGGTCTGGTCTCTGCCTCCTTGGTTAGTTTTGGTTTTAGATTTTGATGGCCCTGCCCTGCCCCACCCATTGGTGGACGGAGTGTCTCCCAGTGCTGGTATGTAGAGGGTTTGAACTCCAAACAGGCTCTGCTGACTGTAAACACCTGTGGGGTGGGGGCTTGGGACTTTGCTCTCCAGGGGGCCCCCTCTGCCTGGGCTTGTTGGCCAGTCATGAGCAAGCCCTACCCTTTCCTCACGTGTAGGGGGTCATTTGTGGTGGGAGAAGTGGTCTAGACTGCCCCCCCTCTGAGGCACTGCCTGCTCTTTCCACCCCTTCTGGGCTTCTCCTAGCATGCTGCCGTGCTCCTCCCCCCTCAGAGGTGCTTCTGTTCTTTGCCCCCAGAATGCTTCAGAGATTCCACTTTGGCCACCTGTGGCTGGTGCTTGTGGCTGTCATTCATCCATTCATCCAACACTTTTTTTTTTTTTTTTTTTTT